CAAAAGTGATGAAATTCAAAAAAAAGTGACAAAAATAAAATTTAAAAAAATGATAAAAAATAATATGATGGTGATTTTCTCGTTGACAAAATCCACCTATAATCAAATTCGTGCAAGATAAGAACTCATCCTTATATAAAGCAATTTTGTTCTTGGTAGAACTATAAAAACCAGCACAAATATCAAACCATGATACATGATTTTCCCACTTTGATCTTGTGCAATTACCAACAATACATGCAAGAAAGCCTCCAACAAGCAGAATGTCAATGTCATCGGTAGCTTACACAGATTGAAATGTGTTAAACCAAATGACTTCAACTGATTAAATAAACTCAAAGCTTTATTTAACTTCCAAGCATGACAGTACCCATTAATCAATATGTCACAACATTACATGTCAGTCCTCTCTCACGCATTTCATCGAACAGTTCATAACAAAGAAATACCAATCCAAGGTTTTCATCAATGTAAGTTTTGCAAAATTGTGGACATTTATTTCATTTCGATAAATGGGAAAATCACATAAATCAAACGGGAAGTCCTAGATCGTTGATCAAATCACTTCGTCCATCTTCAACAATTAGTCTCTCATCGCGGCACACAGAGACCTAGTTAGAAACATTATAAAATTTATCAAACTTCAGGGTTTGCACTACAGAGCATACCCTTAGATAGCGACCTTCAGCCTTTGGTGTCAGCCCCAAGGCAAGAGGTAAGCCGAGCAGAGGAGACAGCTGTGTGGAGAGGTAGTAGAGACTGGAATGCACCCATTTGAGCTAATGGCCTTGAGAAAATAGATGGAGATGAGCGTGAGGATTGGATAGATCTGGGACTCAATGAAGGCTTTGAAATGGCAGACTTGAGGTTTTGATAGTTTGGAAAGTATTAATTACGTGATTAAGTTATTTAATTAGGTTGTAGGGTATTATTCAAATTAGTTGTTTTTGAGAGGTAGTGAGCCTAATTTTCCCCCTATTAATTAGACTTAAGGCCCATCTGCACTCTCTTCGGCCCATTTGAAGTTAGTTTTGTTTATATGTCGCCTTTTCATTTGAATTGTGCAAGTGTGGTAGAATTGGAGCAAAGTGAGGCAGCCGTGTATGTCTCCCCTCCTCTCTTTGTGAGTGCCTTTGTGAATACAAGAAGCTGGTTCTTCCTTTCTTCTTCTCTTTGTGAGCTACCACATTATCTCCCTTTGGGGGATATTTTCTTTGTGGATGTGAGAAGGCTTTTTTTGGACTAGACATCTCTTGGGCAACCTTTGTGGTGTGTTTGGTTGAGCTTAAGGGTTTGGAATAACTCTGCGGTTTGTGGGTCGATTAAACTGAGCCCTAAACCTTAGTGGTCGCTAAAGTTATTGGTTTTGCATATTGTGAAGCTTCTTCGTGATGTATATTTTTCGACATCTACCAAGTAGAACCCCCTCTCTTTCTTATGTCTTGGGGAACAAAGATCAGTGTAATTAGGTCAAGGAAGCTTATCCAGATGCTGACTTCCAGGACAACCAACAAATTAGTTAAGGAAATTAGAAAACTCAATCAGCCTTTTAGAAAATACTTAAGAAAATCATTACCAAAAAACTGAAAATGAAAAGAAGAAAAATAGCACAACCAACCCGATCCGGTAAAACATATCGATCTTCTCGTCCTTCACTCCTTCAGCCACAAGCATATATTTCCCGTTTTCGATTATCTGGAAGTCGAACGTGATGAGAACATAATCAAGAAAGTGTTTAGCTTCCAATTTCAGGCCGGACAATTGTCCATCGACAAGAACCTCGATCGACCAATTTGCTGATCCACGTCGCCGGGAAATCTTGAGGATTTTTGATGCATTGACATGCTTCTCGCCGCCGGGCTTCAGGCTGGGCATATTGAGGCCCTGTACCGAAACCACAAATTGCAGTGGAAGCCTGGTGAGACTCCTAAGTATTGTAACGTGAGGGATAGCAACAAACATTTGTGGAAATTAGGGTTTAGATCACCAGACAACCCAGGGAAACAATGAATCGCCCCGTTTTATAAACATTCTGGTAGAGGATCTTTGATAACAATCTCTCACTCTCACGGTGGGTGAGTAGATAATTTTTTTTTTTTTTAATCACAGGGGGGTCCACCACCGATTGTCAACCACTTCGATAGTCGTTGCTAAGTCGAATTCCTCTTAGTCAATTGACTCAATTCTGACCAATTGCCAAATGTCGGCCGCCTATTGGGGGGCACACTGCTTTGAGTGCAGTTGATTCTTCTTCTAGAATTATGTGGGAAAAGCGCATACATGTATGTCGGCCGCCTATTGGGGGACCACAGTTTAAATTTCTGCTGATTCTTCTTCTAGAATTATGCGGGAAAAGCTCATACATTTTATGTTTTTTCTTTCAATTATTTTATATTTGGAAAATATTAATTGAATAATGACTTGGGCCATTTTTGGAACAGGCCCATTAAGGTCCAAATTCAACTAATGGACCAAAACATGATAGATGTTACGTTATTGAAACCCAACCATAGAAAATGGTTTGATTTGGTGTCAAACCGTTTTGAATTATTCGATTTGAAATAGTTTAAAATCGTATGAAATCCCATTCCAGCTCCTAATGTAAACTGACTTACTGGAAAAAATGGAAATCATATAACTATTTCAACCCGGATGTTTTTCTAAGATCAGAAGACATACCTTCAGCTGCCCCCATGGAAATCTTCGTTCCTGCAACATGCATGGCGATGGCGTGCTTCTACTCTGCAAAAATATCTGAGCTCAGCTCTCGTATAGCTACTNGATCAGAAGACATACCATCAGCTGCCCACATGGAAATCTTCGTTCCTGCAACATGCATGGCGATTGCGTGCTTCTACTCTGCAAAAAAATCTTAGCTCAGCTCTCGTATAGCTACTAATGCTACCAAAAATCGTACATATCGACTTCCGAACTTGATGACAAGAATGAGCACGAACGAGATGTTCCGGTACCTGAAACAAAGCCATCGAGGTGTGTTCTCATCGTCCCGATGCTTAGTCATAGAGAAAATATGAAAAGAGTATATGCGGTAAACCCAAGAGGTGGGCCATAAAAGCACGTCCCATTTAAAAAAAAGAAAAAAATATTTACCAGCCCGCTGTTCAACTGCCAAAACACGAGCTAAGCGGCGGTGGCCGGAACGAGCCCACCTAGAAGCCTTCAATATCCTGCACAAAATCAAAACTCCCCTGTTTTCTTACTTCATTTTTATGCCCTAATTTCACTTTATTGCTCCTAAAATGGCTGATGGGCTTCAATGATCGGAGTTTTGATTGCCGTCTGAGTTTCTCACGGATGAGGATTCTGTCATGGAGAAGGAGAAATTAAACAAAAAATCTAAGACAGTTGTGCTTCCCCCGTTGAATTTCCCTACGCTTTTGGCAATTATGGAGTCGGCTATCCCAAAACAGAGAGTGATGATGAAGACTTGCTCGCCGCGTTAACTCAATCCTCTTTCTACCATCATCTCAACCCCGCCAAGCCTAAAAATCTCGAGGTGCCATTTATCTCACTTTCGGTGGAAGAGTGGGCGGCTTCGGGGTTTACAGTTTGGTCGGAGGTGCGCCGTCGGTTGGTTACTCGGCGATGCAGAAGATGCGTGTAGTCTCTAGGTGAAATTGGATAATATGGGGGAGATATGTAATGCGTGGTTCCGGCTAGCTGAACTAATAGGATAAGGCTTGGTGTACTGCCTTTCTTTTCACGGTCAATTTCACAGTTTTTTTAAATTGCTGACGTGGAAGTGTGAAATTGTTAAAAAAATGAATTCTTCCAAAAAGGAACCACATAACCCGGCCCATTGTCTAAACGTGCAAATCTCCAAATCTAACCTACTCCCAACTCTCCCCCAAATCGCCACCCATTCAATGAAGAAACACGGTGACGAAGCCACCCATTCACGGTGACCAGTGAAGAATTTCACTTGAAGTTTGAAGCTTCAGAAAAATATATACTGGAGATACAGATAGAGATAGATACAGAGAAAGAGAGGTTCAGAATTCTCTTATTTTCTCAGCATTTCTGTATTACAATGAAAATTACAGTGCTGAATTTCTGAAAATGGACCTTGGCCTTGTGCTTTCTCAGCATTTATTCAGAATACACTTTCAGAAGCACAAAAACAAAGGAAAAAGAGTGAGAGTGACTGCAAAAATTTATCATCTGGATTTTTACTTGCTTATCTAAAATTTTTGTTTCTCTTTAAAGTAGTAAGTTAATTTTGGGTTCGTTTCTGCTTCCTTTTGATGGTGATTGATTGATTTATTGCTTTTTTTTAATTGAATAATATATAAATTAGATTGAACATGAACCATTTGGAAATTTAATTGTTCCCGAAATGTTGAATCTTTTTTCGCATACTTATCAATTTGTTCGTTGTGACATTGAATGTTCAATTTTACACAAAATTGAGCTGATCTCTTTCCAGACAAAGAAGAACGAGGATCTGTGATTGTCATTTATTAGTTGATTTATAGAGAGGAAGATTGCCCAGAATATGGATTGCTTTCCTTTCCTTTCCTTTCCTTTATTAATTAAGGTTGTCTATAGTTATTTATAACCAGCGTTGTCAACTTGTAATGCACATTAGAATATTTTTTAAGTGAAGATTGTCCAGATAGTATGAAAGAAACTAAATCAGATAGCAATGTTAATATTTATACATGGGATAAAAAGTTGTTCCATTGCAAGAAACAATTGCATTACCACAAACTACTACAAAGACTTCAGGTTCAAGATAATCCATTAACATTGATATGTTCGAACGATCACCAAATACGAACATTTGAAACACTATCCCAATATATCGACTTTTAAATAAAATCATCCGAATCTTCTTTCCCATTATGCATCTTTATGTTGAGTGAAATCTCCAAGTCTTTTTCCTCCGTTAGCTTGGCAAGAGTTTTCAACATATGCGACAAATTATCCCGACACACATCCGTTTGTAATACCACTAGATTCACCGTCATCATGCAATGGACATTTTTCGTCGGGATCATTTTTACACCATTTGAAGTACCCGCAGTCTATGTCCCATTTGTCTACAATAATGACAAATTCCCCTATTCTTGCAAACCATCGATCTATAATCTAGTTCAACCACAAAAGAACTACATCAATATAACAAAATTCATTATTATGCTCATTTTGTAACAACAATTCACGTGGTGGGGTCCCAAATTTGTATGCAGAAAATCCAAATTTCCCCCTGTAATTTACGTTTTCTGTAATTTTCAATTAGAAGTCATTCTTTATTCAAACTGAAATGGGGGTTGAGATTGAATCTCAGCCTATTCAAAAACAACCAATTCGTCAGCTTCATCTCCAAAAACCATTGGTTAATATGAGATTTCCCATTGTTTTTTATACTTTGTCCAGTAACTGTAACCAATGGTTTTTGGGGATGAAGCTAATGAAATGGTTGTTTTTTTAAAAACAATGGCAAATGCCACATAAGCAGTGGGTAAAGTTTCTCCTACCCACCGGGGTAGGAGAACGGGGCTTTTAATTTATAAAGGTTGAACCCCAACCTTGAGGGCCCCCACCGACCCTGCCCTGGGCCATTGTGAAAGAGGTAAATCGCAGGATGTGCCTCCCAGGAGCCAGGGTCCACCCACCCTTTATAAATTTTATAATCTGTCAAACTACGTTTATCCACATATTTATCAAATCAATTAATAT